TGGTGAGTTGGCTTCCTTCCCCCGAATGTCACATGACTGAATTTCGGGCAGCTGACAAACTGAGCTGCATTTAAGCATTTTAAATGCTTAATTTTAATGATTAAATTGTACACTGCCTGCCTAGAGCAAGTTAAGCAGTATGAAAAGCTAATTAATTAATTCATGGACATTTGCAGCATCCTGCAATCATGTGAGCGTGCTTCATGATGCTTTTGCCGACAATCCAAAAAAAGCCTATGCAGTCCTAGGCTGCATTAACAGAATCAAGAACATGTGAAGTGTTAATAGCACTTTACAATGCCTTGGTAAGGCCACTTACTGCATCCAGTTTTGGTCACCAGAATGTAAAAAAGATGTTGAGACTCTAAAAAGAGTGCAGAGAAGAGCAATACAGATGATTAAGGGACCGGAGGCTAAAACATATAAGGAACAGTTGCTGGAATTGGGTATGTCTAGTTTAACAAAGAGAAGGACGAGGGGAGACATGATAGCAGTGTTCCAGTATCTCAGGGGCTGCCCCAAAGAAGAGGGAGTCAAGCTCTTCTCCAAAGCACCAGAAGGCAGGACAAGAAGCAACAGGTGGAAGCTAACCAAGGAGAGAAGCAACCTAGAACTAAGGAGAAACTTCCTGACAGTTAGAACAATTAACCAGTGGAACAACCTGCCTCCAGAAGCAGTGAATGCGCCAACACTGGAGGTTTTTAAGAAGAGACTGGACAGCCATTTGTCCGAAATGGTATAGGGTTTCCTGCCTGAGCAGGGGGTTGGACTAGATGACCTCCAAGGTCCTTTCCAACTTTATCATCATCATTATTATTAAATAACAGCCTAATCAAGGAACCACTGATTGGCAAGCGACTAGTTTATAAAAATAAGTTTAAAATCCACTCCCTTCTAGCACTGATGATGTTACCTAGTTGGGCAATGAAACATCTGCAAGAAAACAACCAAGCTCAGAGAGCACCAAGGACCCCACAGTCCTCTTCCTCCTCCTTCTCCTCCTCTTCCTCCTCACAAACACCCTCCCTTCTAGCACTGATGATGTTACCTAGTTGGGCAATGAAACAGCTGCAAGAAAACAACCAAGCTCAGAGAGCACCAAGGATCCCATCATCAGAGCCTATGCTGACACTTCCTCATAGGTCTTATCGGCTTCAATTCATCTGGGGCAATTCTGGTGTCAGATAAAGGTGCCAGTTATGAGGCATGCAGGTGAAAGCAGGCCGAGAGATAATCTCTGAAGAAACTCACCGATTCAGGTTTCCAAATCGCTCAGACCAGTTTTCAGCTTTTTTCAATTCTCCCGTTTCCTCACTGATTAAGTTGATGCCGTAAAATTTCAACATGAGTTTATAAGCCCGGATGAACCTCTCCATGACTTCTTTAGATTTCTTGAAGGCCTGAGATATCAAAAAAAGAAAAAAAAAGATATCAAATATCAAATCACACACACACCCTCCAGTACACTTAGGCATATAAAAAAGGATCATGTGAAATATGTACCCCAATTGTAACTTGCTATTTCTTTTTTTTGGTATTTGGCATTATATTTCTACCGTTTAATTTGGTGGATGTAACTTTTAACGGGGAAACCACCAATGAATGTTTGTGTTAAAGCTTTATTATGAACCGTGGTGGCGCAGTAGTTGGAATGCAGAATTGCAGGCTACTTCTGCTGACTGCCGGCTGCCAGCAGTTCGACCCTGACCGGCTCAAGTCTGACTCAGCCTTCCATCCTTCCGAGGTCCCAGATTGTTGGGGGCGATAGGCTGACTCTGTAAACCGCTTAGAGAGAGAGGGCTGTAAAGCACTGTGAAGCGATATATAAGTCTATTGATATTGATATTCCATTCCATTCCATTGGTGGTGCAGTGGTTAGAATGCAGTATTGCAGGCTAACTCCGCCGACTGCCAGGAGTTTGATCCTGACCGGCTCAAGGTTGACTCAGCCTTCTATCCTTCCAAGGTCGATAAAATGAGGACCCAGATTGTTGGGGGCAAGATGCTGACTCTGTAAACCGCTTAGAGAGGGCTGTAAAGCACTGTGAAGCGGTATATACATCTAACAATTGCAGCGATTCACTTAACAACTGTGGCCAGAAAGGTCGTAAAATGGGGCAAAACCCAGGCAACCACGGTCTCGGTTAGCAACAGAAATTTTAGGCTCAATTATGGTCATATACCAAGGACTACCCATATTGCTTCCTTCAGGGAAAAAGGGGGTGAAAAAATTTGTGAAGAAAGAAGCAAACTTTGGGGGGGCCCCCAGGAAGTTCTGGTCCCACCGACCGATCCAGATTGGATCCTGAAAAAAAGTCCCTCCTAAATTCTCGGCCTCAATCTATTACAGGTCCTAATCACTTGTTCCTGTACATCTTAGAAATCAGTAAAACGTGTTAATGAATTGCAAAATGTGATGCTCGCAGTTGGGCTAAACACGGTGGATGCAGTCAGACGAAGTATAAAAAAAACGTAATTTCACGGATGAGATGGGAATGTTACAAAAACGAGAAAAGATCTTCCTACCTCAATTTCTTGGCACGTGAGCCGTTTGGCATGAAAATTCATCCCTTGTTCACGTAAAGGAAACAGCCTGGAAGGAACAAAACATCTGCCAGTCAGAAAAGATTTTAAAAAAATATATATATCAGAAAGAAACACTCACTTTAATGAAATGCACTGCAGCAAAACAGCAGCATTAAACACTTAGCTCAGGGGTAGGCCACCTTGGCTCTTTTATGACTCGTGGACTTCAACTCCCAGAATTCCTGAGCCAGCCATGCTGAGGGGAAAGGGAGAGGTTTCCAAGCTGAGCCATGCTGGCTCAGGAATTCTGGGAGTTGAAGTCCACGAGTCATAAAAGAGCCAAGGTTGCCTACCCCTGGTTTAGCTCAACTGATGCTTCTGAGTGAGCAGCAGCTATTTAGAAGAGTTAAGGAAGGGCAAAATATCTTGACCAAGACACTTTGCACATCCCTAAAAGAAGCAATTAGACATTTCACACATATCGGGCTCAGCCTGCTCCTGGGATCAAAATGGCAAAATTTCTACGTTGCACATAAATCTTTATTTTAGTCCGATTTACTCCACAATAAATTTACTCTTGCAGTACAGTAAATGTGCAAGACGTCCTCGATTTGCAATAATTTAATTTAATAATTTAATTTAATAATTTAATTTATATACCGCCCTTCTCCCGTAGGACTCAGGGCGGTGCACAGCATATTAAAACAGACAAACAAAATACATAAAGAACAAAAAACCCCCATAAAACCAAATTAAAAGCCAAATATTAGAAGCTGTGTGTCAATTAAAATTTTCTTAAAATCATCCCTACCTAAAATCCTCCCTAGGT